TATTTATATTAAATTATTAATATATATCAATATATTCTAATAATTATTCAATTAATAGTATAATGAAATAGATAATTTATCAAGTAGTAATTTCACTAATCAGATATTAATAAATTTTAGTTAATTATACTAATAGATACAAAAAATAATTAATTCTAATATTTAAATTTTAATAATTTTAATCAAAGCATAATGAAACTGAAGTTCTTGGTATTACTATTCTAGTAAAGTATATTTATTGGCAACAAATGTTTATTACTAAATAATATAGTGAAGCAAGAAGTATTAAAACATTGGGTAATAATCAGTATAACAGTTTAAAATATAACGCATCAAAAACTTTTTATAAAAATAACCAAGTTTTAAAACAAACAGTATATAAATATAACTTTTTTTGTTCTGTTTAATTTATTACTATTTTCGAAATGGTTAAAAATAACTGGCAAATATTTTTTATAAATATTACGAATTTACTTTTTCTATAGTGTATATTAGTTGATCATAAAGATACCTCCTCATCAGATTTAATTCCAAGTCTCTTATTGACTTTAAATTTAAGAAGTATAGTTTGTCATATTTATCAATACTGTTTTATTAATTTATAAAAGAGTTAATGTAGATGTACCTGTAGAATACATTAAATTTTTTGTACCTATTATTTTGATTATAGTAATATCGATATTGTTTATATTAGGTTAGGGTTAGAGTGAAAATTATGTTAGGATTTGGGTTTAGTCAATTATATAGTAAAATCACTTAAGGAAAACTTTTTATTAATGCACAGAAGATGGTTTAATATATAATTTCTTGTGAAATAAGCAATTTTGTCAAAACGAATGTTTGTTTTGAATTTTTCTGATCGTGTAATGTTACACCTAATTTGACTTTTGGTAAGGATCTATATAGGTCACATAATGCAGGTTTATGTACCTTTGGATACATGTATATAATTTTTTTATAAAAATTAATTATTTTTTTTAATTAATTATATCAGACATGTTTGAACATTTAACCAAAAATATAACAAGTTCTATATGCATATCAGATGATGAATTAGCATTAAATATAGAATCAATATCAGATAATTCAAATAAAAATAATGCAGAATCATCATCAGATAATCCAAATAAAAATATTGCAGAAGATTCAGACCCAAATAGTAAGTTTTAATATATATTTAATTTAAGTTTATTAAAATTTTAATTATATTAAA